CGCGTTATCAGAAGAGGTTTTGTCGAAAAAGAAAGCAGTTTAGATGCAGTTCTTTCGAAAAAACCCTTTTCCAAGGAACTCTACACACCTTATTTTTGAGGATGAAGGGTTCTTTCGAAAGGTTTTTTTCGAAAGAACCGCATCTACACTGCTATCTTTTTTGACACAGCCTCTTCTGATAACGTGATCAGAAGATATGCAAATTAGTTCAAAATTTGCATACCTTTCGGCAGAAGTAAGCCGTCTAGATGTAGCCTAGAAGAAAGTGATGGACAACAAAATAAACTGTAAGGCTTGAAATGTGGAAATGGGAGCTGCTTATCTTGTTACTTCCCCTGTGGGATTTGGGGCTTCTAGTGTGTGTGTTCTGTAATTTCTTGAGCATTTTCTCTTTTGTCTCAGGTGTCTCGTTGCCAGACGATGACCCAGATGCTGGCCAGGGGAGCAAATTTTGCCTTGTGGCCATTGGGAGGTTGCAGGTGAGTCAAAGCACACTCGGCAAGTCTCTGGAATATGGTCATGCTGAAGATTAAACCCCTTTCCCGCTTTCTCCCCAAGGTCCTGTCCAGTATATTGTCTCTGCAGGTTCCCCCTCCCCCTTTCCTCCTAGCTGTCATCTGTGGCTCTAGATAAAGCAAACACAACACATCTCTGACGAATAAAACTATCCACAACTCTGGGGCTTGCAGACCCTACCGAAACTGACCTGTGCGTTTCTCGCAAGCCCAGCATGAAGCTTGGCAACCTGGCAGGTGCCTTCTTTGACATGCCAGTCAATGCACTGAATGCACCATGTGGCTTCACAATTCCTACTCTCTTGTGCTGGCATCTCCACTCCTGTCGGTGCATCTCTGCCCTTTGGAAATGGGCCAAAGGCTCTATAAATAGTTAATGATTTATCAACAGTCTTTGAGTTAGGGATGGACTTACCTGGGTTCACATGCAGGTTTATTCCTCCTTTCTGACTTACCTTATTAAATGGGAATGTTTCTGTCTGTCGTCTGTATCTTTCCAAGCAGCGATGACTGCTCCATGATTTGGTGGGAGAAAACGTCGTTCAGCCAGGCCAAGGACTCGTATGTGTTGGCTGGGAGATCACACTTGCATTTCTCAGTGACTTTCTTTAAACCTGAAATCGAATCTTTTCTCTTCAGGTCACGAGCTCACCCAACTGCACAGACCTGAACAGCATTTGTCAGCCAACGGAGTTCATCTCCCGACACAACACCGAAGGCATTTTCACTTTTGTAGATCACCGCTGTGTGGCTACAGTTGGCTACCAGCCACAGGTGAGAAACAACAGACTCTTCCCAGTGTAGAGTCCTGCACTTAAATTGGTTTCCCCTCCCTCTTGCTCCACAAGTCATGACTGTAGTTTTCCGATAGAACTGAGCTAAGACAAATTAGTGGTTAGGTATTGAACTAGCCATTAATTTCTGCCTCACCAGTTGCTTAAAAAAGAAATACGAAGTGGACAGATCAAAACAACTGTCCCAGACTGAAGTGTCAATAGACAAAGCTTTGGAACACATCAATACATTAAACAGTAATAAGTCACCAGGAACAGAGTATCACCCAAGAGTTCTGAAGGAACTCAAATATGAAATTGCAGAACTGCTAGCTATGGCATATTGCCTATTGCTTCAATGAATTTCTGTACAAATGACTGGAGGAGAGCTAATGTGTCAGTTTTTTTTAAAAGGCTCTTCTGGCAATTATTGGCCCATAGGGCTAATTTCAGGGCCAGGCAGATTAGTTGAAATTATAGTAAAGAACAGAATTATCAGACACCCAGATAAACACAATTTATTGGGGGAAGTGTCAGCACTGTTCTTGTAAAGGGAAATCATGCCACCTCAGTCTAGTAGAATTCTTTGAGGGTATTAACAATGATATGGACAAAGGTGATCCAGTGGATATAATGTACTTGGACTTTCTGAAAGCCTTGGTCTGACACTGTGTAGTCATTCTGATGTTCTTGTATAACACTGAATGCAGGAAGGTGAATCTGGTGTATATTTAGAGCAAATTTGGTTGAAGCAAGGTCTTTGACAGCCTTTCAGAGTGAGCAATTGACCCTAACGTTTAATCCCTGTGGAGCTGTTTTGTAGAAGTGTCCGTTCCTAAAATAGGTTGAGGTCTCTGTGTTTGTCCCAGAGTTGTATGAGGGAGTTGTGAGCTGGAGTTGAGCAAGCTGAAAGCAGGCAGTCTGCTTATTAAATGGAGACTTTTCCCCCCCCTCTTCAAAATTAGGAACTCCTGGGGAAAGATGTTGTGGATTTCTGTCATCCAGAGGACCAGCAGCTTTTGCGGGACAGCTTTCAGCAGGTATTATATTTAACTGCCTTGGCTGTTCACAACTTGATCTGCATCACAGCTTATAAGCCGATATTCCTTTTGACTGACTGCTATGCAATGGAACTGAACTGGTTTAGACTTTTATCAAAGCAGGAATCACACCTCGTTGTCCTAACATGTCTCAGTTACGGAGCAGCATACATTTGAGTAGATCATTAAACTTGCTAATATGCAAAATGAAACTGGGTGGGTTTGTGTGTCTAATTTATTTTTAAATTCCTCCCTTTGCGGCTAGTTCTCTGAGACCAGAGATGTGAGTACAAAGTCATGACATCAAGGCCACGCTTCCGGGGGTGCTTTCAAACGCCAATTCATCCGCCTTGCCATGCATAAGGTGTCAAACTTTAATGAATGTGACTTAGCTGGCTCTCTTGCTATTCCTCGAGGGTGTTTGACTTGACAGGGCAGGAAAGGTTTCACTGCTGCTGATTTTGAAAAGCAGCTCCTCGCTTGTTTAACCCAGTAGTCAGAATCCTAAATAGCCGACAGCTTTTGGTTTCTGGAAAAATTAACTTTTTGGTTCTTATTTCTGTTAACTCCATAACTGCAAAGGGCATTAATTGAAGGTGTAAGGAAATGCTGCATTCCACGCCCATACCATCATCCTGGGAAGTCAGACATTGGAGGAATATATAAAAAGAGTTTAAAAGAATGGAGTAGTTGTTGTGTGGCTGGGAAGCAAGGTGCATTATCGTAGCTTTACAGCCAAGAAGGCTGTCGTCATTGCTAGCAGGGTGGGTGGGTTTGTGCCTGTAAACAACTCTGCTCTCAAACGTCGTCTTTTGTCAGGTATTACTCATGGCGTTAAATTTTTCTAGGTGGTGAAGTTAAAAGGCCAGGTTCTGTCAGTCATGTTCCGATTCCGGTCCAAAAACCGTGAATGGCTCTGGATGAGAACCAGCTCCTTTACCTTCCAGAACCCCTACTCAGATGAGATTGAGTACATCATCTGTACCAACACCAACGTTAAGTATGTACACGGCAATGGCTTTCAATCCCTGAGCACTGTCCGTGATAGCATGTGCACTTTGCCTGACCCACTGCCTCCCAGCGTGACCAGCTGCACAGACAGGATGCTTTACCAGCTCGGGTTCTTCCACCATCACCCCTTCTTTCTCCCCCTCCCCACCTCCCCAAGCGTCTGTGCTTTCTTGAAAAGTCACTAACTTCCTGGGGCAGAATCTGGATATCGGTGTAGAGCGTGCGATGAAATGCTTTTAAAATGCATTGAATGGAATTCTTTTGGCTGCTCAGTTGAACAGTTTAGGGAGCTGTCAAAGTGTAGTTTGTTTTGTCTTAACTGGCTGGTGGTGCTTGTTACTGCATTGATGCTTCAGGCTGTATGTCTATATTAATATTCGGCAAGGATATTTTAAGGTAGCTCTTGGCTTCCGTGGCAGGAGGAGGAGGAGGCAGGGAAGTTGGAGAGTGAACGTGGGCAGGAAAATCCTCAGCTGACGCCAGAAAGTAAATATTTACTTTGGTGTAGTCTGCTTGCTTCAGTGGCTCATCCTAGCGCTAGGAAAGGATTGTGAGACAGTAGTAAAAATAGACCTTTCTCTGTTATGATCTTCATGACCTACCACCTGTTCCCTTCTTGGCCATGTTGGTGGCATGGGGGCACCACAATACCTAGCCTTAGTTGGCATTCCAACCTAGGGGGAGCACACAGCTCTTTGTACAGGTCTAGCACTTGTGCCCGCCAGGCTCAAATCTCCTCTTTCCATTGCGTAGCTAGGAGTAGCCTCAAAGGAAGTCTGTCCAGCTGGACAAGAGGCAAGCCAGACCATCTGTGCTTGTAGACAGAGGGCAGAGTTTGAGTTGGATGTTCAGGGTCTCTCCCAGACCTTTCTTAATCATGCCGTACAGTTGGCCGTGTACCGTCTCCAAGCACCAGGAGGAGACCCTTGTTCTGATCAGGCTCCCGCAAAAAGATTCAGAGCCGTATTAAGCCAATCCCTCCAGGGGCTTCCCTTTGGCTCTAGACCTCCATGGTGTGAACACGGAGTAGAGATCCAGGCGTCTGGTTTCTAATCATGCCTCTGATGTGGACTTAGCCTTATCCTGGCATTAGAGGCGTCTCTTTGACAATATTCTCTCCTCCTCTTAATCAGTCCACACACATCCATTCCCATTTCCATACTCCAGCTTCCAAATGTACCATGCCAGCTCAGAGCAGAAAAGCCCAGCTGTGCCTCAGATAGCATAGGTGCACTCCAGCTGCCTGGCTCTGCCCGATGTGAACTGTGCTTCCCTTTATTTTTCACAGCTCCGAGTGCTCTCCGCTGGGTGGAAACAAGAGCATTTAAAACACATGTTGAGAGAGCAGATTTTTCTACCTTATGGGAAAGCTTGTTTAGGTTACGTTGCCCTATACAGGCTTCACGACTAGAGAGAAGCAGAGCCCAGAGGTTAATAATCGGTTTAACAGTGGCCCTTTCCTGAGGGCATCCTAGTTCTGATCCCTGATGTATTTACTGACTCAAATGGTAAGTCATGTATGGTTTAGGCTTGACAGCCTTGGGAGTACTGATTAGATTGGTGAGGCTTCCAGCGGACACAGATTTAACAGCTCTTCTTCCTTGGTGTATCTTTCGGAGGACTAGTGCCCTTTGGATCCCAGCTATTCCATTAGATGTCTGATCCAAAGGCTGAGGATCGTTCCTTTGACTTCATCAGGCTTTTGCAAAAATGAGGCGCTCGGACTCACGACTGAACCAAAAAAGGCCAATTTTAAAGGACAGTAACTGACTCTTGCATCCTTTCTTTCCTCTCCTTTTTTCAAAAACATTCAGGAACTCAAGCCAGGAGTCTCGGCCTGCCGTGTCTAACTCCATGCAGCGCTCACAGCAGGGACAGAACGTCGGCCTTCCCCTGGAGATGGGCACACCCCAGCTGGCATCTAGGTGAAAGGATTCTACTGTGCCTCCGATTGTCCTAGTTCTTCCCCTATATGGCTACCTTGTTTTTATAGGCCTGTTGGTTACCCCTTCCCCCTCTTTGCTTTGTTGAAGGAGCAGGCGCTCTAGGGTTCTATGTCTGAGTCAACAGCTCCAAAATATTTATTACAGCAATCAGCTGACCTAGTTAAGTAGCAGGCCTAATGCTGAGCTAGTAATTAATTTTTAAATGAGCGAAAAGGAAGAATAGCTGATCTGCTGCAGTCCAATAGGCTATGTAGGAGATTGATTGCTTACAGGATCGTCGAATGATGCTGTGAGAGTCACAAACTTCCTTTTGCGGGGTGGAGTCTTAAACTGGTTACGCTTGAAAGTCTTGGTTTTTTTTTTTCTATGGGCTGAGAGCATAGGCAGAATCTCCAGCAGTAGTGTAACTGTCCTGCTTGCTTATGCAGAGCCACTCAGATTCCTGGCCGCCAGCGGGTCACGGCTTAGTTAGCTCGGTTGTTTTTAGCAGGCCCTGTTCTTATTACATTCATGTTCTATTTTAGGCAGCAGCAGACACCGCAGAGTGAGCTGGAAGTGGTCCCAGGAAGAGAGAGTCTGTCTGGTTATGACCATTCGCAGGTAAATGAGCTGGGACATTTGTCCTGTATGGGGCGATCTATCCCTGACTATAGATGAAAACTGGCCCATATAGCAGTAACCTGACACCACCGCATGGCAGTCTGAGCTGCTGGGTTTCTGTGGAGCCCATACTGTGACTTCTCCATCAGATAGGCTGGCACAGCCGCTCCTGAGCCGTCTCCAGCATTTGGAGCGCCCTGCGGCTCTGTTCCTCCACTTGGGGTTCTCTCGTCCTTCCAAGAGCTGCCTCTGTACCCCTCCCCCCAGTTCTTGAGCTGTCCATGCACTCAGTCTGGAACAGGCCAAGTGGGCCCGGAGACTGTGCTAAAGCACCTTGCAGACCAAGGTGTATGTAGAAAGCCAGGTAACAAGTGCCCTGTGCTCTTGATCATAGGCAGTCGGTTCCTAAGTGGCTTCCTCTACTCACCTCTGTTTTGCCGGCTGTTGCTTCTGCCTCCCTGCCCTGCTTGCAGGTTGCTGTTCAGCCCGTGACTGCTGCTGGCCCAGAGCACAGCAAACCACGGGAGAAAGCGGAGGCTCTGTTCAGTCAGGAGAGGGACCCGCGGTTCTCAGAAATCTACTCCAGTATCAATACAGGTAGGGGCTGCAATGTGCAGGGGGCTGAGCTAGCTGGCTCCGTTCCTCGGTTTGTCCTGGCTTGGTATCATCACTCGTTCTGCTTAGGTGAATCCAGGGCTGCGGACAGGTGCTGAAGTGGCAGAGGTGAAGGCAGTCCGGAATATCACAGGCATTCCCACCCTCCCCCCCCCGTCTGCCTCTCTCCTTTTCCCCCGATTGCGGCCATCACAGCAGTGCCTCCCGACTGCATCTCGGCAAAGCTTGGCTGGGACGGGGACAGTCTTTTACTCTGCACCTTGGGTCCAGTGTCTAGGATCTCCTCCTAGCCCCTTCTGCCTGTCCCCAGAGGGCAGATGTTTTCCGTGACTCAGGCATTTGCCCTTGGCTGTTCTAAGCCCCAAAAGGATCAAGGCTTGTTTAATTTGATTTCCTTTCAATTTTCTAATGAGCTGTCATGGAACCATCTGCAGTCTGAGTCCTGGGTAGTGTCTGTAAGGAGATTGTCCTTTCTCTAGCCAAGCTGTTTAAGGCAAAGAATCCAACTTGACATGGTGGATTGCTCCCTTGTGGACGGCCTTTTGTCTTGGGTTTCCTCCACTAGCATTTCTTTCACAGACCAGAGCAAAGCCATTTGCTTTTCTTTCACAGATCTGTTTGCCTTTCTTTCACAGACCAGAGCAAAGCCATTCCTGCCAGCACAGTGCCAGCCAATCAGCCTCTCTTTTCCCAGGGAAACGCGTTTGCTCCTGCACGGCCCGCTGAGAGCTTCAGGTGAAGTTAGCATGCTGGACTGGGGTTGGGTGGTTGTGAATTGTGCCATCTTTATGCTCTGTCCAGGCTTAGTTTCCTGGAGAGGCAACAGAAGAAAGGAGGGGACGGACGGACAGTGCTTTGTGGTAGCTGGATGCTTTTGAAAGAGAATTGGTCTGTAAATAACTGTCCAGACTGAACAGTCTGTGTTGCCCTAAAGGGGTCTCTTCAGTGCACCAGACTAGATTGTTGCATGTGCTGGATCCTGTCACAAGGGAGTGGCCTGCAGTACTTACAATACAAGCTTAACCACCCTCCTAGGAAAGATTTGGATGTGCCAGGGCATCCCTAGGAACTGGATACCATTGTCTCTGTTCTAGGAAACCATTTGATTTTGCATGAGTGTCAGGCAATAAATATGACCAGATACTAGCTAGACACTGGCGTAAATACTAAATGGGCAGCATAGGCAGACAGGTACCCATGTGCATGCTGTGGTGCTTCCTCTCCAAGCTAGGCGAGCAAGCGAAGCGATGTGGATACGCTAGATCGGGGTCAGCAACCTACGGCAGCGCGCGAGCCAATAGCTCAGCCTTGCCCCTCCTCCTCCGTGCAGCCGGGAGCCTGCACCAGCGTTTCCTTAATGTGCGCACCTACGCAGTGACGCAGACAAAACTCTAATCTAAGCCTGCCCCCTCTGCAGCAGCACTCGCTTCCTCCTGCTCCTGGAAGGTGGGTGTCGTGGCTGCTCCCGCTGACGGGGAGCGGCAGCAGCGATGACCGCGACAGCCGAGGGCCACGTTGGGGGCCGGCCGCCGCTGGGGAGAAAGCTGCATTGTGGGGCAGTTGCCGCCGGTGTTTCGGGCCTAGAACATGGGGGAGGTGGGCGGGTTGCTGCTGCAGCGTGTTGGGGACTAGGAGGGTGCGGAAGCTCCGGGCGGGAGGGTTGAGGAGCAGGACGGGCCCGGGGCTGCATTGGAGGTTGCTGATGGGGCATCTGCTCTAGCGGCCAGGGCCACGTGGAGGGCTGTCTGCTGCTGGGGCTGAGGCTGCGTT